ATGGCGGTTTCCTCGATGTCGGCCCTCGGGAGCCGCTAGCGGGCCCCAAGATCATCAAGCAAAGATCCAGGGCACAAAACTACGCAAAAGGACGCGGTCGGCACCTGTGGGGCCGCAGACTGAACAAACACATCGTCGGGCGTATGGATCATCGCCCTCGCCCTCCTCCTTCTTCACCTCCCCCTCCTCCTCCTCCTCCTCCTCCTCCTCCTCCTCCTCCTCCTCCTCGGCGCCCTCCTCCGCCTACTCCTCCTCCTCCTCCTCCTCTTCCTCCTGCCCTCGCCCTCCTCCTCCTCCTCCTCCTCCTCCTCCTCCTCCTCCTCTCTCGTCTTCCTTGCTCCGCGTCCTCCGCCTCGTACATCCTCCTCGTCCCTTCTCCTCCTCCTCCTCCTCCTTCTCCCTCCCCTCGCTCCTCGTTCTCGTCATCTCCTTCTCTTCTCTTGCTCGTTTCAACTCCTCCTCCTCCTCCTCCTCCTCCTCCTCCCCTCCTCTCCTCCTCCTCCTCCTGTCCTCCATCCTCCTCCTCCTCCTCCTCCTCCTCCTCCTCTCTCATTCCTCCTTCATGTCCTCCTCATGTCCTCCTCCTCCTCCTCCTCCTCCTTCTTGTGCTCCTCCTCCTGCTCCTCCTCCTTCTCCTCCTCCTCCCCCTCCTCCTGCTTCTCCTCCTCCTCCTCCTCCTCATCCTCGCCCTCGCCCTCCTCTCTTCCTCCCCCAGCAGCGGCCGCTCCGCCCCCCTCAGGAGGCAGGGCCTCTTGTCTGGTCCGTGTGTGCATGTCCCGCAGGCTTGCCCCAGAGGACGTTTACACCAAATCCCACCAGCCCTCTGGGCATAGGTAGTCCCCCTTGCTCCTCCCAAGCCCCTCTTCCCTTCGGGGAGGGGTACCGCTTGCTCCCAGAGATCTCCATGTTTATCCTGGTTGCCCTCTTTGTTTCACGACGCATGTCTCTTCGTCCCTTATCCCGTCAGCTCTCATGGGCAAGGTCTCTGAACGGGCTAGCGGGGATACGCGAGACGTGAAGAATCCTGGGGCCAGAAAGTACAGTCAGGGTGCTACTGCTGGGAGCGCTGAATCTGGAACGTCATCGTCATCGTCATCATCGAGGGCATGTACACCAAATTCTGGGTCTGGACAAAGTACAGTCAGCGTGCTACCACAGGGAGCGCTGAATAAGGAACGTAGCGGACTTTCCCTGGCAGTGGCGAACCTCGGCCGTGAATTGGTTCCCTGACCTGGACCTCAAGAACGGCCCAGAAACCACTTCTGAGCCAGGAATGGTCCTTACTCCTTTGTTCAGCGTCTTGAACGCAGACATCAACATGCTGCCCCCCCCCACACATGAATGCCCAGGCAAAGGCAGCGACGACTAGGGCATGTTATTTGGCACCAGGTCCGAACGAGTCTCCAGGTGAGCAACAGCATCATGCGCTAGGCCATTTCCTCATCTACGCCCGGAGCTCGATCCATCCCCCAAGGAGCGGCCTGGCATCGCGAACGTTCCACTTCTAACAGAACGAGCGCGGTCGCATCCCTCGGACCCGTTTTCGCCCCGCGAATCGATGGGGGCGGCGGCCGCCGCTGCCCTCGGGCAGCCTTCCAGCCCAGCCGGGGGGGAGGGCGGAGGGGGACGAGGGCGAGGGGGGGGGCGAGGGCACGTGGATGGAAAGAGGGGGGGAGAGGGGAGGAGGCCGGAGGCGGGGCCGCGGGGCGCCGCGCGTCTGCACGCCGCCTCCGTCCTCTTCCTCATCTTTCGCCTAGGAGGAGGAGGAGGAGGAGGAGGAGGAGGAGGAGGAGGCGGAGGAGGAGGAGGAGAGGAGGATGAGGAGGAAAAGGATGAGGAACAGGGGAAGACGAAGCGAGGAGGAGGAGGAGGCGGAGGAGGTGGCAGACATCCTCGGGCCCGATCTAAAAGGGGGCCTGCGCAGGATCTGGCGTGCCGCCCGCGCCCCCCCTCCGCCTCGGACCCCCGCGGGCGCGCGCGCCCCAGATCCCCCCGGCCCCCCCGGTGGCCTGGCCCCAGCAGGCTGGCCATCGCTCGGACGTCCATTTCCTGCGTTTTTTTCGGTTTCGTGCGTGGTTTTTTCGCCAAATGATCAAGGATGCTCCTCGACGGTCCTTGCCGAAGGAGAAATGCACACGTCCGAGCGATGCCAGGCGGGCGCGCGGCGAAGGGCGCGCGCGGCTCCCTCCTCCCCGCTGGGAGGGCTCGGAGCTCCCCCGTCGCCTGGGGGCATCGGCCGCCGCCGTCGCCGCCGCCGCCGCCGGCGCTCCTCGGGAGCGGCGGCCGCGCTGCGCCGCCGCCGCCGTTCTCTGTCGCCGTCGCCGGCGGCCGCGGCCGACGTCGTCCTGCGCCTGGGTCGACAGAAAGATGCCTATGTCGCCACTCCACGGACCTCTCCGGGGTGGCGTTTCTGACAGGGAGTTCGAAACGCAATCGGCCGTGGCGACGAGGAGTGCGTGGCGAGATAGGTACCTGTTCCTCCTCTGAGCGTCGTCCTTCTTCATCGCCGTTCTCCTTATTGTTATTCCTCTTCTTCTTCCTTTTTTTCGTCTTCGTCGTCGTTGTCCTCCTCCTCGTGGTCATGATCGTGGTCGTGGTTGTGGTCGTCGTCTTCGACGTCATCGCCGTCATTTTCGTCTTCGTCTTCGCCATCATCATCATCATCATCATCATCATCATCATCATCATCATCATCATCATCATCATCATCATCATCATCATCATCATCATCATCATCATCATCATCAACATCAACATCAACATCGAATCATCACCATCATCATCATCATCATCATCATCGAATCATCAGCATCATCA